TCATGCTTGCCAACTTCTTGGCGCCTTCGATGATCTGAAGGCGGCGTGTCTCCAGTGTCTCGGCGTCTGCGTCTTCTGGAATAGGCACAGTGAGGTCTTGCAGAGCCGCGTCGAGTGGGTCATGAGCCCCTTCACCGGAACGCTCGTCATGACTGATGACGAGCACCTCCTTGACGGCGCTTCCGCCGCTCTCCTCGTGAGGGAGCGGCTCGTCGTAAACCACCATATTGGTGGGGAACGCGTCGAGCGACGCGGCGTCGGAGTCGACCAGCATCGGGTCGGTGGAGCCTACGAACTCCAAGTCCACGGCAGGCTCGCCGGTGACGTGGAGTTGGTCAAGGAGGCCCGCGAGGACGCTCTCGGGGCCACCCGTGCCTGCGTCGGATGCAGGCTCGTCGGAGAGGCGAACCTCGCCGACAAGTTCGGCGAGGCAGCTAGCTGCGCAAGCGGCCTCAGCACCGCGCAGCGCATCAATGCAAACTCCGTCTGGCGAGCCTGGCTGGCTGCGCTCGCCAGGAAGGAAAAGGGTTCCCGTCCAGAGAAAATCTCCGGACGACGGTGCACCTCGCCCCACGGTGGGCGCCAAATGTCGGGGGTTGGGTGCGACATATGTCAAAGGATGGCTTATCATGGTGGGGGCGAGTAGAACGTCGCCGGTGCCTGGAAACGGGATGAGGCGAAGACATGGACGCCGGTGGATCTTACCCAGCTTCAGGGCTCTCCGAGGAGATAACACCCCTACTGCTGCTCTGCGGGGTCTCCGCATGGTCACTAAGGCAGAGTGAATACAAGGTTGCTCCTAGAGCTGTTTCTGGAAGAAGGAGAAGGCAAGGCTAGCTCTCTCCTTCCTATATGGCCTGTCTAGTGCTAATGGCTTCCAACCCTTTGCATGGGCGCCCTGGGGGGTTTATATAGGCCTACCCCCAGGGGTACAATGGTAAAACCGGCTGGGTGCGGGTCCCAACCGTCTGTCTCTCAGGCCGCCGTCTTCTCCGCCGACTCCTGGGGCCCGCCGACTGGTGGGTCCCGCCGACTGGCCTGGTACGAGGGCGTCAGCCCTTGTCCACCGTGGGCGGGTCTTGCCGGCTGCAGATTAGTGTAGCCGTGCTTCTAATGACGCTGGCTTGGTCAGGGGGTCATGGCAACAGTGCCGTCGCTTGACGAGCGATCACTGTTGCCATTCCCCCGTCGTGTCTGGTTAATGGCGTGTGGGGCCCGTGGGAGGAGCCAGCCGTCTCCTGGGGGCCGACTCCCAACGGGCCCGTCTCTTGGCGCTCTCGCCGTCTTCAGTATTCTCGCTGACTGGTAGGCCCCGCTGTCTTCGGGCCGTACAGACAGACCGTCGTGGGCACAGGGCCCCGCCCCCAGGAGCTGATGCCAGGGCCGGCATGGCAACAGTGCCGCGCCGGACGGAGATCTCCGTTGGTACGGCGCACTGTCGCCATACCTGCCCTTAAATAACAGGGTGGTTGGAATTGCAGGCCGACTTCCGTAGTCGGCCTCCTTGGAGTCGCCTCTGGGACTCGGCTTTATCTGGAGTCGCCTCTTGGACTCGGCTTATCTGGAGTCGCCTCTGGGACTCGGCTTTATCTGGAGTCGCCTCTTGGACTCGGCTTTATATGAAGTCGCCTCTTGGACCCGGCTTATCTGGAGTCGCCTCTTGGACTCGGCTTATCTGGAGTCGCCTTCTGGACTCGCGGGGCGCAGCCTGCCCCGATGTCTTGAAAGGTTCTGGGACTCGGGTTAGCCTACCCGTGGCCCATTACCCCGACAATTTTATTTTATCTAGACTTCTAAAATTTTAAATTATTTGAATTAAAAAAAATGTTGGTTTGTCTGAAAGAATTTTGAATCATTTCGAGCGTGAGCTATTTTTTTTTTTTTTTTGCCATTTTGGAACCCGTACTTGTTCATGTGTCTAAGGAGAAACCTTGATTTTTATATGTTGGCAACAACGACTACTTGAGGATGAGCGGATTTTTTTCGCCAGAATTCATTCAAATGGATTATGAATTCAAAAGTTTTTGGCATTAAAATATATAAATTGAAACAAAGCTTGGGCATGTTCCAGTGGTAACTTCGCATCCAGTAGGTGACCCCAGCGTGCAAGTTTGTGAAAATATCAGCTGATCCCTGCTTACATTATAAAGTGAAGTTAGGTATATTGGTTTAAAGACGTGCTTAGTGCAATGGTTGGCTCAGGCCATGCCCGTGTGGGGCACGTTTCTCATTTCTCTGTCAAGCGTGACGTGCGCTCAAATATGACCCATTTGTGTTGTTGAGGGGGCTTCTGTGCAATGAAAAACAAAGCAGGGGTGCTTCAGTCATGCCATGTAAACACCGGATACTGATAAAATGACTGTATTTGCATGAGAACGCAAGTTGGATGACCACTAATCCGTATTTTCAAAGTTCAAGCACCATACTGTGATATTACCTCTTTATGAAACAAGGGACATAATACAAAAGAAATCACTGCAAAAACATACTCCCGTATTCCTTAATTATGAGATAGCCAGGATTTTTGTGCACGTTGGCCATTTTGCACTTGGAAGTGGCCTAATCACAAGAAACGTTAAACTTATCAACCAACCCACGAAATGGTACTACAGCATTGGGTGAGATATAATTTTTAGAGATTTCAACACGGACTACATACGGATGTATACGGAATCTCTCAAACTTATATTTAGGAACAGACGGGGTACAACTGAAGGATCAATATGCATATTGGAATAAGTACGATGGTTTTAAATCATATTACTGACACATATCTGATGCTAACATGGTATAGATACACAACTAGAAGGATCAATATAAATTAAACAGCATTATAGCGCAGAACTGACACACATCTAACAGTATATGGTTTTAAAGCATAACTGACACACATCTAACTTAAATCATCAGTGCTTCAAATGAATGAAGATCCTTGTCCAAAGCTTGCATCATCACTGCAAAAAACACAAATAAACAAACTATATCAGCCTAATATCTATACATAGAAATAGTCATAGGACATGAAATATAGTACAAACATTAGTAGGTGCGATGCTTGACAACCTTGATGAGCAATAATGCAGGCACATTTCTCTATTTGAATACCATCGATATCAAAGATTTTAGACAAACTATCTTGTCTAAGGTGGTTTATATGGCAAGTGTTTTAAGTAACACGTACTACATACCAAGATTCACAAATGTTACTATGACCTGATAAGGATTGCACGAGCTTATTGGTGGCAATCCTATGGAGGTCGACTCAACCATATCATTCTCTTCGTTCCATTGTCGAACCCCTCAGTGTCCTCTTCGGCTGGAAACTGTTACTAGTGTTTTCCAGGAGCGACTGCAAAACCAAGATTTAGATAATCATACCTGAATAGGGAGGAATGGAAATACCAGCAGAAGAACACAAGGATAACAACACATACCAGACAACGTTTGCCGTGAAAAGGAGTATCCTTCACAAGAGAGCTACGTCCATCTAAGGCATAGCGAGCAGATAAACATCAGATTCATGATCACTTGTTCATCACTATAGATAACCAACCATAAAACTGAACAGGCCAAATAGTAACAAGTGATTGATCATGCTGATTACTGAGGACCTATCCCTGACAATTTAAAATACTTTAGCCTAGGTCTTAACTATTAATGTACATACTGAATGTGGTTTAACCACCATGGTTTCAGTCTTAATAATTACCGTACAGCCTGAATAAGAATCACCATCGTTTTAAGGCTTAACTATTATTACTGTACAGACTGAATGATAACATGTGCTACACAAAATAAAAACCGTGAATACCAAAATTAAATTTGCTCAAACCACAGCTAATTGATAAGTAAACATATCCCCAAAAAGGACGAGGGGAATAACATTCCTCAGCAATGTCACATGATAAACAGATAGCGCTAATATTACCTGATTCACTCTTGCGATAATTCTTCGTCACACAGGATACGTAGGCTGGATTGAGACGCATGGATATCCCATCTTTAACTGGCACCAGTCCTCTCACTGCTTTCTTCCACATGTCAACAGTGACAATCCAAGCCTCATCATCACGATAGTCCCACTTGGAGAGGAGGCAAACATAATCGCCACAGAGGATCGGACAAGCTGTTTGCAGGTCGCTCAGAGGCAACTTTTTAGCTCTAGAAGATGGTTTCAGGTTCTTAGGTGGCAAGGGTTCTGTTCTACCATGAGGAGGCAAGGAGACTTCTCCAAGTTCATCAACATGAATCTTACACACCTTTTGCCAATGGTCCCAAAAGATCTCCCTATACCATGTCACGAGCCTCCAACCAACACACATGCGCTTTACCACCTTCTCAGATGGATCAACTTCAAAATCATAGAGTACATCAGGATCGGGGATTCTGGTTGTGAAACCGAATAAATCTTCCAGCTCAACACATACGATTTTATAACCATCAGTGCAGGTGACATCGCGTATTGCCTGTCCTGGCAATTCTTCATAGAAGTAGTGTTGGTTGTTGGGTAGCAGGTTCGGCAATGGAATGAAACGTGCCTTCACCGGATTTTTGACCACATTGCAGAAAAGAATCCCCTTCAAGAGATCGACATAGCCCACTTCTTGATGTAATGCAACCACCTTATCTGGAAAAACCCCTGAACGTGCCCAGGAGGGAAAATCTGGGAAAAGATGCTCTTTGCTCCAGGTCCCGATACTGCCTTCGAGCCTGTAGATGTGGTGTTCGCAATCCGCTGACTCCTTCCTTTTGAAAGCGGTCAAGAAGTGGCCCTTGCCGTCAACGTCCGGAACGACGCCTATAAGGTATGGATCTAGCATCTCGCGATCACAATACGAGCCAAAACCAGGAAGCAGACTAAGCATCGGCGTCTGGGAACTCCGGGCCTTCGACCGTATAGAGGAAGAACTCTGGTGGGCCGGGTAGGACGAGATGGACACAAAAGAGGATGAAGTTCTCCGACGACCAAAGGATCTCAGGACTTTTGGTGAAGGGGTTCTCTGTGAGGTCGGGACAGGTAACATGGAAGTAGGAGATCGATGGCAGATCTTGTTTTGAGATGGTTACCTTGATGCATCCCATTTTGCTCAGCGAGACGCACGCTGTGGTCTTGTTAATGTCCACCGCGTCGCTGCACCCATATGTGCAGAGGAGGACGTAGTCGGGGCGGCCAATTTTGCGGGAGGCGGCGGCGAGGCGAAGGTCCATCGTTGCTCGGGATGTTGCGATTTGGGGATTAGGGTTTCCGGGAGAGGAACCAGAAATTTATGCGCAGGCCAAGCTGGACGTTTTTTTAGGGGCCAAGCTGGAGGAACCGACTCCAATTTGGTTCTGTTTTGAATGAATCCAGCCCAACCCAAAAATACCATATGTTGTGAACTAGGCCCATTAGGGCATCTGGCTAGCCCCCTCCAGTGAGTCTATTTCTGGAGAAATATACCAGAGAAAGATGGATTCGAACCGTCGACCTAAAGCTGGATAACAGCGTTGCCATCCGCTGCAACTCTTGAAGTAATTTGAAACCAGCTCATCGAATTTCAAAAAAGTTCATTGAATGTGAAAAAAAATCATCGAATTTGAAACCAGCTCATCGAATTTGATGTAAAATGTTCGTGCATTTCCACAAAACAGAAAAGAAAAAGGAATTATGATTTTTCCCACATTTAAAAAAAGGAAAAAGAAGAAAAAGGGAAAAGAGTTGCGTTTTTACTCTCTGCATTTAGGGCGTACAAGAAGGAATGTTGCGTCAGTATTTTTTGTGTTGAATCTGGAGATTCTAGGTTCGAGTCACGCTGCATGCATAGTTTTTTTTGGATTTAAACAGAGAAACAGTAATGGGTCGGGCCCAAGTAACGACCTTTGCGGAAACAGAAACGCCTCTATTTCTCGCGTACTGCAAAAAGACACTATTTGACGCTTATTGCGTCAAAAAGTGGCTGATTCGCATAGACCCGAGCGAGACGACTGACCATGGGCCGGCCCAATTTACTCTGTTCGTTGCTTCTATAAACCCTGGTTTTGGGTAGGTTCCGGCTGGTTTTTATGATTTGCAGAACTTCTGAAAAGTTCATGAACCGGGTTTTTCCTTCGTGTCTTTCCTTTTTGCTTTACTAGGAAACATGCTCGTGCGTTACAACGAGAATAAACAAGAATTCATTCAAAATACATAGCCTTGAACATCATCCACAATGCCCGTGCAAAAAAAAGATCATCCATAATGCTCTCAGTCATTCGCCACGTGTCGCGCTCTGGGCGCTCCCTTTGAATTTTGTTTCTTTATTTTTCTGCACGTGTTTTCGGCTTTTTTAAACGGTTTTTCCCGTTTTTTACCTTTTGGTTTTCCACCGATCTTCCCTAGCTTTTCGGCAAATTTTTTTTAAAAAAAACTTTTTTTTACGAAAAAAACGCATTTCTTTTCGCGAGAGTCATGGTTTTGTTTCGCGAGAGGCACGGCCGTGCCTCTTGGAAACGAAAAAAACGTGTTTTTTTCCTTTCGCGAGAGGCACGATTTTGCTTTTGCGAGAGGCACGGTTGTGCTTTCGCGAGAGTCACGACCGTGCCTCTTGAAACGAAAAAAAACATGTTTTCTAATTTTTTTTCTTCCGCGAGAGTCACGGTTGTGCTTTTGCGAGTCACGGCCGTGCCTCCTCAGAAACGGAAAAAAAATCATTTTCTGTTTTTTTTCCTTTTGCGAGAGGCACGGTTTTGCTTCCACGAGAGGCGCGGGCTTGACTCTTTCGGAAAGGAAAAAAAACTCGTGCTCCCGATTTGTTTTTTCATCCGTTTTTTTGTGCAGAAAAAGTTCGTCAGAACCTATCAACATAGGATCTGGTTTTGAAGATCTTGACACGAGGAATCAAACGGCGAAAACGGTTCGAGATTTGGACGCACGGTTTAAGAGATAAAACGTTTTGAATAAACGGATCTACGAAAAAAAAGGGAAAACTCTCAGGTTGAGACAAGTGGCGCACATGCAGCGCGTCACTTGTCGCAACCTAAGGAAGTTAGAGTGATTTCTGCAAGGAGTACTCCTTAACTAGTAATTTCATTTTTTCCTCCTGATTTTAGTTTCTCTTTTTTACTGTTTCTTTTTTTTTGTTTTCCTTTTCATTTCTTTTTTTTCCGTTTTCAAGTTTATTTTACCTATTTCAAAAAATGTTTGAAAATTTCAAATATTGTTCAGAATTCAAAATTTTGTTTCTATTTTCAAATTATGTTCACACTTTTGAAATATGTATGCTAATTTGAAAAAATGCTTGTAGTTTTTAAATAAATTGTGATTTCTAAAGATTTTGTTTCAGATATACGAAAATGTTCGAAAATTTAAAAAATGTTTGCATTTTAAAATTCTGTTCATAAATTTAAAAAGAATCTTGTTTTCAAAATTTCTTTAGAAATTAAAAAATGTTCTTTTTCCTAAAAAAATTAAAAAATGTTCGCATTTAGAGAATTTGTTCCCTTTCTCATAAATTGTTCACTGGTCTGAAAATGTTCACCTTTTCTCTTTCTCAAAAATAGTTCTTTTTTACAAAAAATGTTCGCCTCTTACAAATTTTGTTCATTTTTACAATTCGTTTTTCCTTTTTTTTCAAATTTTGATCATAAATTGTTATAAAGTAATTTAAAAATTTGTTCGCTCCGTCTCAGAAAATGTTTGGTAAATCCAAAAATGTTCATTTTGTTTCAGAAAATGCCCGATTAATTAAGAAATGTTCACCTTTTTAAATTTTGTTAGAAACCAAAAACTATTTGTTTTCAAAAAAAGTTCCCATTTTCAAACATTTGTTCACAAATTCAAAAAATGTTTGCATATTTAATTTTTTTCAGAAATAAAAAATGTTCGGGAATTTGATAAAAATTTCCAAATTTTGTTCACAAATTCAAAAATGTTCTGGAATATCAAAAATTATTCCCATTTTTCCAATTTGTTCGCAATTTCAAAAATATATTTTCGTTTTCAAGATTTGTTCACATATTCAAAAAATGATCATTTTTAAAAATTTGTTGATAAATTGAAAATGTGTTCGCATGTTTAATTTTTGTTCGCAAATTCTAAAACATTTGGAATTTCCAAAAGTTATTGTTTTCCAAATTTGTTCACATATTCTAAAAAGCTACAGTTTTCTAAATTTGTTCAGAAATTTTAAAAATGTTCATGTTTTAGAAGTTAGTTCACAAATTCAAAATATGCTCGTGTTTTTTGAAAATAGTTTAGTTTTGAGAAAATTATCACCTTTTGAATTTTGATATTTGTTTTGGAAAATATGTTTTGCGTTTACGAAAAGTAGTTCATAATTTAGAAAATATTCTCGTATTCAATTTTGTGTTCCTACTTGGTTTTAGTTTCTATTCAGTTCCCAAATAATGTTTGCGTTTCAATAAGTATTTCCTTTTTACGCTTGAAATTTAAATAGAAGTTTTAATATGTAATTGTATGCAAAAAATAACCTCAGTTACTATAGTGGCTATGGACTCGTTCTAGTTCTTTAACTTGGCGCTACATATTTGTCAGTGTAGCTTGCGTGTCCCAGTGGCGAGCATGCGGTGCGCATCTACAGCAGTTCATGGGTTCAATTCCTGGTTAAAGCTCTTTATATTTTTGCGTTTTTTCATTCTGCGGAGGAGAGCTAGTGGGCGGGCCCAGGTGAGTCGTCTTCTGTGTGAAACTTCGACTCCTTGCCGCAATAAGCGGCGCATAGGAGGTCTCAGCTGGTTACATCTTGTAGTTGATTATTATACGATTTATTTGGTGAAAGATTATATGTTCAGATCCAATATGCTATTTAATACCCCTCTGATCTTGAGCATGGTTATCATTTGTGCGTAGTTAATTTTGTTCTTGAGGTCACGGGAGAAATCTTGTTGCAAGTAATCATGTGAACTTGATATGTGTTCGATATTTTGATAGTATGTATGTTGTGATTACCTTAGTGTTGTCATGTGAGTGTCGACTACATGACACTTTACCATATTTGGGCATAAGGGAATGCATTGTGGAGTAGCAATTAGATGATGGGCTACAAGAGTGACACAAGCTTAAACCCCAGTTTATGCGATATTTCGTAAGAGACCGATTGGATCCAAAAGTTTAATGCTACGGTTAGAATTTATTCTTCATATTTTTCTCGTAGTTGCGGATGCTTGCGGGAGGGTTAATCATAAGTATGAGGTTTGTTTAAGTAGGAACAACACCTAAACACCGGTCCACCCACATATCAAATTATCAAAGTAGCGAACACAAATCGAACCAACATGATGAAAGTGACTAGATGAAAATCCCATGTACCCTCAAGAACACTTTGCTTATCATAAGAAACCGTTTCGGCCTGTCATTTGCCTCGAAAGGATTGAGCTACCTTGCTGCACTTTTGTTACTACTATCGTTACTTGCTCGTTACAAATTTCAGCACTTGCACACATTACCTTACTGAAAAGCACTTGTCATTTCCTTCTGGTTCTCATTGGGTTCGACACTCTTACTTATCGAAAAGAGCTACAATTGATCCCCTATACTTGTGGGCCATCAAGGCTATTTTTTGGCGTCGTTGCCGGAGAGCGAAGCTGTGACGCCCGGATAATTAAGCTACAGTAATCCCCCATTGATGATGCCATGTCATCACATTACTGTTGCTAATCCTTGCTTGATCCAAATCATAATTCCAATTAAAATTCAAATTAAAGTCCAAAATTCAAGTTTCTCAAACATGCAAAATAAAATGTCCAAAGTGTGGCAAATATTCCATGACTAATTATTGTGGTGACCCAACACTTTTGTAAAGTGTTTAGATCCCCTTTTGTGAATATAACAGTGGCTTAAACAGTCACTCAATTGCCATTTCATTTATGAAAAATTTCAAAGACTCTAGAAAGCCTCCCAAACTTTTGTGGCAAGGGGTTAAACTAAAACATTAATTTAGGTGCTACCTTTCTATTTTAATAAACTAGGATAATGTGAAAAATAAAATAATATAAATATAACAGAAAAGTTAAAAGTAGAAGAAAAGCCCCCTTCCCGACTGGGCCTCCTCCC